ATATAAAACATTAATTAATAAATAAATATATATAAATTAAGCTAGTAATTAAGCTATATTTAAATTAAGCTGATATATATGCTAGTCTACCAAGTCAGGTCATCTAAAAATGCTCCAGGACCCCTTTTAATACCAACAAACAAATGTATTTGTTTATTTTATCATTATTATTATTGTTTTATTTTTCATTGGGGAAATGACTGCATCTTCTCTTCTGGGTGACAAATTTATGTGTATAAATAGACTACATTAATTATTAGGTGCCTCAGACTGGACAATGCACAATGAATTCATCTATGACACTAAATCACAAAATGAGCGAGCTCTTGTCAATCAGTATGACTGAGTGGCAGTTCATCAACAGTTATTCACATCTTCACATTCTCCAACCCGGAGTCCAGGACATGCTAATAGTGTTCAAAGTTGCATTGTTTGGCATCAATCCATTATCTTGATGCTGAGATATTTCAGAGAGTAATACAATGCAGCATTGCTTATAAAATTAATTAATTAATATATATATATATATAAATTAAGCTAATATCTTTAAACATGGAGCATTATCACTATGAATGTATTTGTTTATTTTATCATTATTATTATTGTTTTATTTTTCATTGGGGAAATGACTGCATCTTCTCTTCTGGGTGACAAATTTATGTGTATAAATAGACTACATTAATTATTAGGTGCCTCAGACTGGACAATGCACAATGAATTCATCTATGACACTAAATCACAAAATGAGCGAGCTCTTGTCAATCAGTATGACTGAGTGGCAGTTCATCAACAGTTATTCACATCTTCACATTCTCCAACCCGGAGTCCAGGACATGCTAATAGTGTTCAAAGTTGCATTGTTTGGCATCAATCCATTATCTTGATGCTGAGATATTTCAGAGAGCCATGCACACTGTGTCCTGCACCTGCTGGTGGTGTTGGGCGCTTCGGTCTGCCTGCGCTCTAACGGCGCGTGTGATTGGCGGAGAGGGAGCAGGGCCGGCGCGCACTGAGTCAGGAAGTGAGTGGCGGATGAATACATGTGCGCTCCTCGCCGCGTCCACAGCCAGAGCCGCAGCAGCGCACGCAGCCCGACGAGACCTGCGTTTAGTCTAGTCTGGAGATTATCACGCTTTGTTCCCTACAAACATGGTACGTAATCTTTTGTTTCATATAACGTTACTATTAATGCGTTACTCGGCCAGACAGTAACTCAAACAGTCCGTTCGCAACAAATTAGCCTCGTTTACTTAAAAATAGGCTTTTGATATAAGCGTTAGTAGATGTAACTTCTCGAGATAACGATAAACATATTTTAAACAATATTTAGTTACCTGCTATTGAGGTGTAGTTCAGTTAGAGTGAAGCTGAATCTACAACTGCGCAATTCTTACATTCTTTATCTTACATACGGGTTACACACATCAAATGCTGTGCAACGCGTCCCTTATGTTATTGTTTTTACGTTATATTTGACAGTATAATTAATTTAGATCAACATGACGGCACTTTGAAAGCTGTACTTGTGATATTTTAACTAGACCGACTGGTTATGTCAGTGTTTGGGGGTGTAGAGGGTCAGAAGTTTGGCATGATAAGGATGTTTATGCTAATATTTGTGAAATATGATGGATGGGACATGATGAAGATGATTGTGGATGTGTCTGAGATGAGGAGGTGGCTCCGCCAGCGTCTGTTGCATCATCTACCTCCCTTTAAACCCCCTCTAAAGACTGATTTACACCAGCAGGGCCAGTGTTTCCCATCTAAAACCACTTTACACACATGTAAAGGCCTCACTAATGACAGGCAGTTGTATTTTAACCAAACCACAATGTTGCATGGGCTAAAAGGGTGTAGGCTTATGGTAATGGGTGCCTAGTTTCCTGTATTTTGTCTGTAGTCACTGTAGCTTATGCAAATAAAAGGTGTGTCATTGTGAAATGCCTGTCATGTGTCTTTTTTTTGTTTGTTGAATCTGAGAGGTGTTGTCTGACATTTCCTATGTGTGATGTAATTGTGGTGCATCCTAGTAAACCAAAACCTGTTGGAGGGTTTTTTTAGCCTCCCTGTAGGAATCGGAAATCACTAATTATATATTTTAATATCTCAGTTGTTTCTCTTAAGCAGCAAAGAGAGTTTTCTACTGAAGAAAGGCTAATAATCTCATGTGTCTTGTCTACACACACGCACATAAAGTTATGTTGAAGCAATTTTCACTCAGAAATTGATAGTAAATTTCATAATGAATTACAAAGAAAGGGCAAATGACATTGAATTGAACATGACATTTTAAAGTAGAAAAACTGAATCATTTTTTAACAGTGCCAAAAATCTTAGTTTCTCATTCAATTCTTCCAAGATCTAAGATGTTATCTGAGCTATGCTGTTTGCATTTATTTTATAGCTTTATACTCGTACTGTATGTCAAGAATTATGTCCATTTTTATTTCTTCTTTAAGAGAAACGTACCTGAGAGCTCCATTAGTCTTCTAAGCTGTGAAAGATCGAACTCTGAGCAATAACATTTTCCTCTGGGCTTTTGTGCGTATGGCTTAATGTTTCTGGACTGGCAGAAGATGTGAGTTTGGTTTATTGTAGGTGGTTTGATCTCTATATTGGTTAGATCTGGTAGGAGACAGCTGTCCTGGGGTGAAGTTATGGTGTAATGTTCCCTGAAACTCGTGCTTTATGTGTTGGGACTCTTGAGGATTATTCTGTGTATACTGACCTACATTGATTTGCCTGAGCATTTTTAATAAGCTGTAGAACAGTGCTTCAGGCAAACACATCTCACCGCAGATGTGTGACAGTAGTGTCACTGCACAGCAAGTACAGCTGACGGGATTCGGTCTTGTGGTTTCTGTAGCCTGTGGAGTTGTAGAGATCTTTTAGAAAATAGAGGAGGAACAGTACAAATTTCAGACAGCTTGCTTTGCATCTTGGTTTTGTGGTCACATTTTCTGTAAAAACTCATTATGTCGCTACTAGAGGTGCAGTAATTAGAGGCTGAAACAGTTAAATTATATTTTACAACTGTTTCCACACATACAAATTTCGATATTTATTTTACGAAGAGCCAACTTCGCCCCATGCTTTTATGAAAATTACAGAAAACTTTGACATAAATTCTGAGAAATTAAATATGGGACTAAATTAATTGTGGACGTAACAGTACACAATTTAATATTGAAATAAACAATTTATAAAGTTATATGTATATAAATATATGTATGAAAATTACAGACAACAATTTTGACAAACTGAAAATAATTATGAAAGATGAAGTGTAATCGTCATTAAATTGTGTGTGTATGTGTATAATATTTAAATTTAATATTGAAATAAATGTATACAATTATAAATATGTATGAAAATTACAGGCAACAATTTTCACAAACTGAAAATTCTGAATAATATATGCATGTAGTTTTGTTTTGAAAGGTTAACTAGCAGTTCTGTTAATCATATAGCTATGGCACAACTGATAAAATTAGCAAATATTTGCAGACTATTGGCCTGGTCAATATATCGGTATATAACAAACAGTTCAGTAGTCTTAGTCAAAGATCATCATGACAACTACACTGCCAACTACTAGAAAGTACTATCAATTCTATTCGTAACTGCCTATTAACTGTATGTCTGATTTACGATTAACAGGTTTAGGAAAAGCAGCATGTTGTCGAACGTTTCGGGAATTGTCGGGTCTCAGAGCACCTGCTTAAATATGTGTGTTTGTGATGTCTTTATCGACCTACAACCACTACTTTCCATTTATTGCCCATTATAAAAGCGAAACGTTTCACAGAGTGAGACAGACAGTCTTCTGCGGCTCACACTGGATGGCAGGGAGTCCCAGAGCAGCTGCGTCTGTTCCTCTGCTGCAGCGTCCCATCCCCCAGGATGAGCTTTGGGAGGGGGGTGATGGGGGTTGCCTGGGTACTGGGCACATGGGCATGAGGAATGAAATGAGCCGTACAGCTGGCAGCAGGAAGACCCACTTATCTAACAAACCAGCACTCTTTTTTTTTTTTTTCCCCCATTATATCTGCAAGTGACTCAACTGCTGGAACTATTGGATCCAGTGCGTGTGCATTACAAAGGCTCTAGTGATCTCAGCTGCATGTTATATGTCATGTCATGTGAGCAGTATGCTTACTTAATGCATAAAGGAAGTAGAATAATTGGTATGATTGAAGGGATGGCTGTGTGTTCCTCTGTCTTTGGCCCATTAGCCCCACTCCTCCCCTTCATAATGTTGGTTATTTGTTTTCCTAGCAGCTCTCATCCACTCTAGCAAGCTCTTGAGACTCATACAACAAGCTTTTCTCTCCTCGCTGTTAACCAAAGGTCTGGGTTGTTGGTCAATGTCCTGTAATCTGATGCCACTGTATGAACTAAAGCTTTTTGTTTGGATGTCACATGAAATCCAAACACAAAAAGTGTTTACTCCTGCACTCTTAAAAATAAAGGTTCTTTACTGGCATCGATAGTTCCACGAAGAAACTTTAACATCCATAGAACCTTTCAGATGCACAAAAGGTCAAATGTTCTTTGAACTAAGAAAAGAAAATGGTTATTTTAAGAACTGTTCACTGAAAGGTTCTTTGGGGAACCAAAAATGGTTCTTCTATGGCATCGCTGCAAAGACCCCTTGTTGGAATCTTTATTTGTAAGGGCGTAGAACCTTTCAGATGCACGGAAGGTTCTTTATAGTGGAACAAGATTCTTCAGATTAATAAAATGTTTTTCACACACAGAAAAAAAAAAACGTTTATTTTAAGAACTGTTCACTGAAAGTTTCCTTGGGGAACCAAAAATGGTGGTTCCAAAAACCTTTTGGAACCTTTCGTGGTGATGCCATTGAAGAACCATTTTGGGTTTGTCTTGGAACATTTCAGTGACCAGTTCCTTAAAGGAACCATTTTTTCTTTGTGTGAAGCCTTTTTCCTTTTCCACTTGTGTCCAATGGAAAGGTTCTATAGATGTTCAAGGTTCTCAATGGAACCATCAATGCCAATAAAGAACCATTATTTTTAAGAGTATACTTCATGCTACAAGTGTCACATTAGGGCTGTGCAATTAATCGCTTGCGATTGTCATGCGCATCTCGTCAGTAAAGCCGGTTCCATGATTAGTAGTAAATCTCCATCACCTGCTTTCAGATTGAGCGGCATTTACTACACAGAGCTGTAGTTCACTGACAATTAGGCAATATCGCGTTCATAATCGCAGATGAATCGCATTCGATTATGAACGCGATATTGCCTAGCTTGTCAATGAACTACGGCTCTGTGTATTAAATGCTGCTCCATCTGAAAGCAGGTGATGGAGATTTACTACCAATCACGGAACCGGCTTTACTGACGAGATGCGCATGACAATCGCATGCGATTAATTGCACAGCCCTATATGACACATTATCAGTTCAGTTTTTGTATAATGGCAAACGATCAGACTCTTTGAGATGCGTTACATTATTGTTTTAATACTAAAACAGAAAAGTTTTTTTTGCCTGTGTCTACTCTAAAATAAAATCTAAAATAAAAATAAAATAAATGGTAATCAGCATTTCTTTTCTCTTTGATTTCTAGGCTGACCAGTTAACAGAGGAGCAGATCGCCGGTAAGAGTTCATGCACATAATCAGATCACTTTGATTTGTGTATTTTTAAGCACACACTAAATACAGCTAAAACCCTTTTCTGATCTCAGAGTTCAAGGAGGCTTTCTCCTTATTCGACAAGGATGGTGATGGCACCATCACGACCAAAGAGCTGGGCACAGTCATGCGGTCGCTGGGTCAGAACCCCACGGAGGCAGAGCTGCAGGACATGATCAATGAGGTGGACGCTGATGGTGAGTGGCTTTGAAAGTAACAATGTATCTCAGTTGAATGAAATTGATCACTTTTTTCTTTCGAAATTTGAACAAAATATCTCCAACTTCAAGAACACTTCCCACCAAATCAAACAATGGGTTGAACCAGTGTTGTGTCAGATTGCTCAGACAAATGGAGAATATTTGTTCAGGACATCAGCCTATAAATGGCTTACTTATAATCGGGTCAGTGACACAATGCTCAATTTTAATATTAAACTCCTGATTTATTTAAAGATACACTATAGATGCAATTTATAAAGCAGCATCATGTAAAAAATGTCAGAGTGATGCAACTGTCCTGATATCATGATGAAGAAAACCTTAGGTAGTTTGGCAAGATCTTTTATTATTATTTATTATAAAAGAAATATGTCAACAGAACTGCTTATTAATGCATGTTATAATATATAACTTTTGCTCACCATATGGAAGTCATGTGGTGCAACCAGCCTGCAGAGACATACAGGAAAAACACAAAGAAGCTGCAGACCATCATGACTCTGTGTCAAAGTCTAAATAAATCTCCTAAAATATCAGATAATTTGACCAATTTATAACAAGTCAAGGTTAGTTTAGGTTGAAAAATGTCATGTGGTGCGACTCCACAAAACGTTTTTATGTATGACTTTATGGTATGTGAGAATTTTCACATTGAAACTAAACATTATCATTTTTTTTTTTTGAAAATCAAGTAGCAAGTATTGTGAGAAATGACACCCTTCACCTTTAATTGAAGGACGCTGTTGAAAATATGCGTTTTCATTTTTTTTTCACGCGCCTGTCATTGGAGTAAGTACAGCCTGTCTGTGAGGCCATTTAATCTCATCCACTCGTCGCTGTGACATAACAGCATCTGACAGTGCGACGATCCACTCGCTCCGCATTCTCTCAGCCAAGAGTGACACCAGAAAACTCTCCAATCAGCCTCCTGTGACAGACGTCTCAGACAGACAGACAGACAGACAGACAGCTGCGCCACAAGCCGAGATGGTGCGGGAGGATCGGGAGGCTGCAAGACTCCTAAAGCCTGTCAGATTGCGAGCCGTTCCGTCGGTCTTCTTCAATCAGTGAATCGATAGGCCTGTGGGATGCAGCCTGCCTCCCTCCTGCCGTGACGTGATCTAGGTCAGACGGCAATAATGCGAGTAGTGGAAAATAAAAGTAATTGCATGATCCACTCTTTGCGTTCGTCATTTTGTTCCCACGCACTTATGGAACTCAGTTGCCAGGAAACCGGGGAATAACTTATTTTGAGAATCGACTCTGGAAGTGACCTGGAAATGGCTGATTTCAGCACAATTGTGCATTGCTGAGTGGTCCTTCTAGTAATGAATTGTGCTTCCCTTAGGTACTTGTGAAAGACTGTGCTAATATGACTCAACATCCTGTAGCGATCAGAGGTCTTACATTTTTATCTGCCATGCTAAGAATGTGGCGTGTTCTTCATTGAATAGGAGTTAAGCCCCGTTCACACCAAGAACGATAACTAGAAAGACAACGATATTAGCGTCCACACCAGCGAACGATATCGTCTGTTTATTCTAAGCGCACATGTGTCTCCCGCTTTAAATTCTTGAGCTTGTTACAGCAGGATGGATTCTGATTGGCTGTCAGTGTTTTATCGTTCATCAGCTGGAAAAAAAATAGTTTTGAAAGTGATCACAACAATATCGTTCCTCTGTATCATTTATCGTTATAGTTGTGGTGTGAACTATGCTATTCTTTAATATTGAGAACGATTTTTAGAACTATATCTTTATCGTTATCTTTATAGTTATCGTGCTTGGTGTGAACGGGCCTTTACTCTCAGGTTGTCTCGCTATATTACGCCACACACCATTAAATCACCATCTGCGCCATGCCACAGGACCATAGCCTTCAAATCAGAGTCAAAGCTCAATGTCCCTTTTAGGCTGGCTAATCCTAGACCAGTGGCTCCACACATCCAGTCAGTAATCCAGCCTGGTCTTTATTACAGCACGCTTGACCTATTTCAGACCTCAGTGAACGTTAAACGTGGTTTAGCTCTTTTATGGTCAGCTGCGGCTAGTCGATGCCAGCTGTAGGGATATAGCCGTGTCTCTTATATCACAGTCAGCCTCTCAGCTTTTATTATTCTCCGCAGTCCCTCGAGGACTATCATCCACTGCTAATCCAGAGTGAGTCACATGGTTTTTGATCTCTCTTAGCGAATGCCCACCTCATCCCTTTGCTCATCGGTAAACTGTGAGTGACCACAGCGTGTCCCGGGAAGTACTGCGGTTTGAGCTTCCTGAGACGGTGTGAAGGTGTCATCGCCCAAAACATAAAGATCTTTAACTACTGTTTTAGTAGACTTTGGGCCGCAGGGGAAAATGGTGATGAAAAGGTGCCTTGTTGCATATGCATCTGTAGGAGTTTCCCTTTCATACTCACAATTTAAGGGAGGAGAGTATTTCAATTTATAATGCAAGGTTTTGACTAAGGTTTGAATTAGTCAGTTTACTGGTATTTGTGCCATTATTTCACACCCCCCAAAAAAGCATATCTTAACCCATTTTGCACTTGACACGGCTGTGATAGTTGCTGATTTGCGCTGCTCTTGGTAGATTGCGTTATTCATTGAGGAAATGATCTGACTGCATCTGTGTTTATTAATTTGTGCATTGTCAGTAGATCAACCACAGAACTTTCCACTCCCATCGGCACTTTTATGCGATTGCAGTCTCACGCTAATTTGCCCTATTTTGTGAAGCCTGCCTTTTAACATAAATACGTAATAACATAAATTTTTCTGCCTGAGAGTCGAAAATATAAAAGTGAGGTCAAGTTTAACATTTGATATAAAGTCTAAATGAAAGTTGTAATTATTAGAAAAAACAAAAACATAATGACCATTCAGAGACCATTGTGAGAAATGAAGCCACAATACTGAGAAATGGCTTTAAATTAGTTTAAAGTTGGCTATTTCTTGCAGTTTTAAGATGTGAAGTCATAGTTAACTTTTTTTTGTTAATCTGAGGTGGAAATGGTTTCTGTATCAGAGTATCTGAGGTGAGCATTTCCTGTCCATTCTTCTGTTTTCAGTAATATCTCACTTCCCATTTTCTTAGGAAATGGAACCATAGATTTCCCAGAGTTCTTGACAATGATGGCCAGGAAAATGAAGGACACAGACAGTGAGGAAGAGATTCGCGAGGCTTTTCGGGTATTTGATAAGGTATGTTTGAGCTGTTTATAACAGCCAAAATTGACTCAACCTTCAGAGTCACAGCAGTGAGGCCAAGATTTTCCCACCTTTTTTTGTGGCTGAAGGAATTATTGGAAAATATATTTAAATAAAAACAATAGAATCAAGCAATTTTCCTCGTGATTACTCATGATTTATCAGTTTGAATCAGTCTTAAAGGAACACGGCATAGATCATTGAATCTGATTAGACCGTTAGAGTATAGTTCCTAGCCATATCGGCCTAAAAAAACAACTTTTAATTTTCCGGCGGTCTTAATACACGATGTAACTACAGAAGAGTCAAGTTTGAAATAGGAAAAATATTGAAACTCATTGGTAATTTTTGAGCGAGATGCTAACGGTCTAATCAGATTCAATGATCTATGCTAAGCTGCAGCTAAAAGTGCAGTCGGAGCATTCCAAGTCCACTGAAGTGTTGTATTGTGGAGTTTTGTAATTTAAGAGGAACCACAAGTAGAGAGAAAGCTTGTGAATTCAAGTTTCCTGTGGAATGGGGCGTTAATGTATTGTGCGGGGAATAAAGGGGAAAAATCAAAAACGAAAAGAAAAAAAATTTTAAACCACCAAAAAGTAGAAAATGTTTGGCATGATGTTTTTTTTTTTTTTTGTCGATTGTTTATTTTTGTTTTATGACTTTAAGCTTGGCACTGTGTTCATTTGACATGTGAAGCTCATGATGAAGTGTTTCGTCTCAATCAGTCCAAATGAAACATGTTGCCAGGCTTCACTCTAAAACCTGCAGCATATTAATGAAACCGCATGGCTTTGTGATTTGATAATCACACTGAGCCATATCACGACATTTATTATTTAGAGATATCGTGCAGTCCTAACTTAGAGTATATATAAAAAAAAATCTGTGTAACACTTTTTAAATGGGTAACGTAAAAATGACTGGCTTCTTTTAGTCTGTTTGTGTTTGCTTTGAGGTCATCCATATCAGCGGTTTTAAAACGTTGGCCAAAGACAGGAAATAAGTGGTTCATTGCAAAATATGAGGATGTCAAGAAATATGAAAAACACAAGTTTGTTGGTGAGCATAACTACATTTTTGTCTCATTACACACCACAAGTGTCGCAGATCGCATCAGTGTTTCCTGCAGCACTTTTTCGATTGGCTTAAAGGCCTTTTAGTGAAGCATTCTGTGGATTGAAGTGGTTATCGTTACATAATGCAAACTTCTTCGTATATTACTTTTTTTTTAAAGTATGCAATAAGTAGTGCTAATGTCCATTTAAAATAAAGCCAAGTCATTTTTAGTCATGTTTTGCTTTTTCTTATTTTTCTTCTTAAACAAATTCTGTCATGAAACTCTAGATGGCGCAGGCTGATGGGTCCTTATACTGCAAACTGATGATATTCACAGTGTTAAACTACTTGGCACAAGCTGATTGTTTCATGTTGCATATACAACCTGAGCTTGCTGCTTTACATTTAAATGGCTGGTTGGCATTCACTAGAGCATTTTGCAGCACGCTTTCACAGTTCCTCTGAAAACCTCTACCTTCCCCAGCTCCACCTGTATAGATCTGCTACGAGTTATTTTATATGCTATTTGTGCAGCAGCAGTATGTCTTTGCTGCTTTGCATTTAAATGGCTGGTTAGCTTTCACTAGAGCCTTTCACAGTGCACTTTCAAAGTTCCTCTGTAACCCTCCACCTTCCCCAGCTCCACCTGTATAGATCTGCTATGGGTTATTATATGCTATTTGTGCAGCAGCAGTATGTCGGAAATATTCACAGCACCGTATCAGCATATGTATTGGCAGCAGCAAGTTCCTACTTGCTTTGCAGCAGCAGCAGCAATAATCTACAACAGCAATAACCAACAGCAGCAGCAATTCAACAGCGTATAGCAGATCTATTCCGCCGAGACCAAATACATTAACACTGTCATATCCATTATTACCATGCTAAAATCTTCAGAAAGTTGTCATGATAGAACTATTTTCACAGATGCAGCATCCTGTTTTTGGTTACAGATGGCAGTTTTGTCACTTGTAATTACTGTAATTGTAGCAATATTGAGGTCACCTCAGTAAATTCTGTAGTATTTGGCTCATCATGTGATCTCAACATCTCATCTAGACTGAGTCGGCAACACTTATTTGTGCAGTTTATGTGCAACGTCCCTTGATGAAAGATCAAGAAGCTGGGAAAAACATCCCTCAAGCACTTTAGAGTGGATATTCTCTTAATAATTAATTCATTTATCATGGTGTTAAAAGAAAAACATAAAATGAACTGGTGCATCCCAGCTGTTCTGTGCTGCATGAATCCTCTGCAGCGCTTCACTGTGTGTGTGTGCGTGTGTGTGTGTGTGTAGCTCTCTGTTCAGCAGAGGAGAACATCCTTTTCTATCCTTTGTGACACAGAGCCTAAGTTCAGGAATGCTTTCCCAGGAAAACTGCAGATGTGGGGGGAGAACTGTCAGCTTAACAAAGAGGGGAGAAAATCAAAGAGAAGCGCACTGCAGGCAGGAGGAGGTGCGATGGTTTGCAGAGGGATCCCAGGCTTTTCCACATCAGGAGGAAACCCTCAGGGCTGTTTCTTGCTTTCATTCCTTCTTCCTTTCACTGTATCCCTGTCACTCTCCCTTTTTCTCAAACAGAAATGTACACTGCTGAGCAATCTAATCAAATATTCTCTAAATCATCTTTAAAGGGATAATTTTAACAGCTATGTGACAAATTAAAGAGATATTTCACAACGAAACACACAGCGCCTTCACGACATGGTGGCGGCGGCAGCAACAATACTACAGCGAGAATAAAAGTTACACCTTCTTTCTTTGCGTGAACATTTGGGCGGCGTTATGTAAATCTTCCCACATTGTGACGTAGACATGTGGGGGT